AACTCATAATCAGGATTCCACTTGTGTAAAAGTCAGGGGTGTTGACCAGAGAAATATTGTCAGTATTTCAAGCTGTGTTCCTTTCTTAGTTTGATATGGTTACTTCTATGTAAAAAAACAAACAAAAAAAAAAAAAAAAGAAAAACAAAAAAACCACAAAACCAAGAAAAATGGAACAAAAAAAAAAGCTGCTGTAGTTTTCTCCCCAGTGTAAATGATATTTATCAGTGATCTAGCAGATGTAATCTTTTTTTAAAGGTATTGGTAATAAATATTCCGTCATTTGTAAAGATACCTGTCTTCCAGGAGCGTTTTTCCTCCACGTTTCATTGTACCAGTGACAAATTTCACCACGGCAATAGGCAGCGCCTGCTGAGATTGTCACTGACATGAAGACACAAAAGAAGAGTTGGTTCAAGTCAAAACTTCGTGGAGGCGGAAAAAAAAATAATTATTCATCTCTGGTCTAATTCTGCTTCCAAAACTGGCCAAAAAAAAAATCTGGGTGGGTGAATTTGGGGTGATAACGCCTATTTCTGTAGAGTCACGACCTTTCCAAGCTTGTGTGGGCTGGTGCTGTCGGAGTGGAGCCTCTACAGCTTGGGAAGCTCGGAGTGAAAAAGAAAGGGAAGAACCAAACAGAAGGACCAAACTGGCATTCGCCCTCCCCACGGCCGTTTGCCTGACCGTGGCCAGCGCAGCCGTGCGGGAGCGGGGTAGGCGGCAGCGGCGGCAGCAGGTCCCCGCACGAGCTGCGGGCCAGCGGGCAGGGCAGGAGAGCGGAGCATCGCTGACCCTGCGCCCGCAGCAAACCCCCTCCAGGTGCAGCACCGCTTCTCTGGTTATCCTTGCGGATTTCTGAGGATTTTGGGGAGCACTGCTGGAAATCGCTAAATCCACCAAACCCGCATTTCTGACTCTGATGTTTAGGGGCGGCAGCGCAGGAGTCGTATGATTGGGCTCCGCGTTTCAAAGGAGCAATATTGCGCTTTGCAATCAATGAAGCTTAAAACCAAAATAGCCCGGTAACACAATTCAGTTTTTAAAAAGCAAATTTAGAATTGCCATCTCTAGAGGCGGGCGCGAGGCACGCTCCTGCGGCTGCTCTCGCGGAGGCAGCGGGGAAAAGCTGGAGCGGGAGGAACGCACTGGGTTTGTAGCTGGGTTTAAAGAAAAAAAACTTCAGAATAAATGTTTCTGTGCGCTCCGGGCACAAAACCCGTAACTGATCCAGGAGTCTGGGGTCAGCTTCACCGGTGGCGTAGGCTGGCGCAACAGTGGCAAAATGTGACACGCAGCCCCGAGCGCGGCCTGTCCTCTTTGCACCTTCTCTGCTGCGGAGCTCGCGAGCGGCACGTGGCAATGAGAGCAAATTGCCTGGGATGTACCGAACACGCTGCCTTTTCTCTCCTGCTGCCCGGGATGATGGCTCTTCGCTCCCAGTATAACGACTGTGAGGAGGCGGCTCTGCCGGGAATTGCTTTCCTCGTCCTGCGCGGGTGGACCTTGTTTAGCACAGGTGAGGTTCCCCCACCGTGTACCTGCACGAGGCAGCACCAGGAAGGGCTGGACCGAAGGCCTGGCTGGGAAAACGAAGCTACTCCTGCTGCTTTACACCAGCTCAGCTTTATTTACTGGAGCGAGCGTAACACATACCTGCCGGCTTTCAAAGCCATCAAGCCCTGCCCGTCCCTGAGGGAACTCGTCCTCCCTGGAAGTACCGCGGACCTGACGTGCCCTTGCTGATCAGATGAACGTCCACACGCGTTTCCTCATCGTCGCCGGCTCGTTGCAGTTGTTTGCGTTGTTTTCCCGTGGCGCACATCCTTATCAGTGACGCTGATCAAAAGCGCGTTTTTTCCTCCCCAGCTACCTGCCCACGCACCCCGGGAACGCCTCGGCTGCCCCGGGGCTGCCGGCCCTGCCTTCACTAGTGAGTGCTGAGCATCCACACGCACGCTTTCAGGCGGCCAAAGGTACAGCGCGAATGCAGAATGTACTTAAATATATTGCATTAATCTCCGCAATATCTTGCCATTAATGGGAATGAAATTGTATTTAGAAACCTTATTTAGTAGGCCACTCGAAGGCATGACATAAAATACATTACAGTAAATGAATTCTCTTCAGTCTCATTTGTAGGATTTTACTAATGAAATTCTGATTTTAGACTGTTAAAGCTGGGCACCTCAAATCCATTAAAATCACATGCAGGAGAGACATTTGAGGCACAAACATTGTTATATTAATGAGCTACATTAATTTTGATAGAGCCGTGCTATTTCACCCAGATGAGAACTGGCTCGTTTATTATAATTATTTTTAGTCTGTAGCACCTGGGACCTCCATTACGTCAGGCACTTCCCAAACAATTTACTTGCAGGGTCAAATCTTTCTTTTTGCTCTTTGTTTACGTGCTCAACCCCACCCCTGGCCGGCTCGACGGACAGGAGGTTTCTTGGAAGTAGAAAGGACTCTGCAAGAACGGGAGGGCTTCGTGGTCGGCAGCCAGGTCAAAGCCCGAGTTGTTCAAGTGGTTTTCAGGCAGGAGGTTTATTTGGTAACTCCCTTGGCGGATTACACAATGTAAGTAAACAAAGCACAAACAGAAGGGGACGCTGTCTCAAACCCAGCTCACTTAAGATGGAACAACAGATAGCGAAGAAAAACGGGTTGCAATATCGGGCTTGGATTTTCACAATTGCCTGAAGGCAGCTGAAGTCGCACATGAAGGAGGAGCCCAGCTCCTCACAGCTCAGAAAGCCTCTGAAGAGCACCACGAGGTCCTTCGCACATTTCTTTAATTGCTGTACATTTGAAAACTCTGCGTTCCCAGGCTGTGCTTTGTTTTGCGGGTGCAACTGAGGAAGTTTATCACTTTGTGCCATTTTTCTTTTTTTTTGTTTGGTTCCCCCCCCCCTTAAGCTTTAATCTCTTGTGCCAGGAAGCACAAACGATCCCTTCTTGTCCTTTTGCAGATGCTGCCAGCTGATGTCAAAGGCAAGAGCCTGCAAAGGAGCTTTGGACTGAAAATGAGCCAACTGCGAGGCTCCCGTGCCTCCCCCCGTCCCGCGGCCTCCGGTGAGCACCCAGGTGGGCAGACAGATGCCGTTTCAGAGCCCACCCATCCCCGTGGCATTCCCTCATTCAGGAGAAGGGAGTGTAGGAAACCCAGGTGAAGCTCTTGTTTCATATTGAAATCAGGGTCTGGCAGCACCCAGACTGCAGGCTCGGCCGGCCGGCGTGATCCCTGTGCAGGCGTCGGCCATCACAGCCCCACCAGCTTCACGCAGCCAAAACCTGGGGACATTTAAGCCCAGGGAAACCAAGATATTAAAAATGCCTGCTTTCTTCTGCAAACTGTACAAATCTTACACAAAGGAAGAAAATAACCTGAAGAAAAAGTAAACTTCCACAAACCAGGAGAGGACTAGACAGCAAGGACTCCTCTGCGTGCTGGACAGTCAGGACACCCGAGGAGAGGCGTGCAGCAGGCTCTGTTAGTCGAGTGTCTTTGTCCGCGTGGCAGCACAACTACGTGAGCGTAGACATTTTCACCAATATCCCGGAACTTCACAGGAAAAACCTGAGAGTAGGACTGCTCCCCTCCCCAGGTCTCATCGCGTGCCTGGCACAGCAGGGCCTGGGCTGGCGGGGTGCGGGCTGGCAGCCCCCGGCAGCGCAGCGCAGCGCGGGCAGAGCCAGCAGCGTGCTTGGAGCTGCCCATGCCCAGCTGGGGCTCAGAGGGGTTTTACGCTCAGCACTGGGGTCGGTGCTCTGCGGGGGGCTGCTGAGGGTTCTTCAGTTGCCAGCGGCTCGTGAGTGGGAGACTCCTGTCAGTTTTCTGCAGTGTTTCATAGCTATTTACCTGAACAGTTTTCAATTCCCAAGCTGTGAATTCACATTAAGTTTAAATGTGGCTCCTCGCAGGCCTGCAAGTGCACACAACCCCGGCAGCACCCCAGGCCACCTGCAAAACCTGCCACGCACACAAACTCTGAGATTTTGGGAGCTGTGCCTGTGGCAGCAAGGTGCCAGCTGTGGGCACACAAATAACAAGGCAATGTGCTACCTGTGTGTACAAAAGTAACACGGCAAGGTGCTAGCTGCGTGCAGAAAAATAACAAAGACTCTAATTGTACGTCAGCTGCATAAGCAAACTGACCTTGTCTTAAATAGCCTATAAAATCCAGAGGCTTTGGGGGTTTATACAGTCCTGCAACTTTTCCCAGCATCCCAAGTTGGCGCTATGTTTAGTTAAAAAGCAAGATGTAAGTGCCTTTATGCAGTACAAGAGGGACGGGACGCTGCCACGTCGGGCACGGCCTGGCCGTCGCACCGTTCAGGCAGTCCCCACGCAGGAGCGGTCTGGCTGCACGGCTCACAGCTCGCACGCAGCACAGCCAGATGCTTCCTTTGTCAATGAATTGCATTTCCATGGCGGTTATTGAGGTTATTTGCCGAGTTCACACTGTTTCATTACAGAGTGTATCGGTGAAGGCCAAGTGCGAGTCCCCACTCTCATGATGGATGTGCTGTAGCCGTGCAGCACCGGGGATGGCAGCACTGGGGTGCTCTACAGCTTGTTTTACTCTTTTCCTAGTATTTGACCCACCTTGGTCACTGCCAGGGACCACGGCTGGGTACCTTGCTGCCATACACAGGGCTGCGCCAAGTCCCAGTTTGCATTTTGCATCTTGAGTTGCCAGAGTTACTTAAAAGAAAACAAAAATCCAGAAGATTAAGCTGTCAACCAGAAAAAAAAGCCATTGGCTCTTTTCCAGAATTTTTTTTTCCTACACAGCCCTTGTACCGTGTACGTATATCCTGCTTAAACTGGGACTTTTTGTTTAGTAGCTTATCATTACGCAAGGCACCTCGTGGAAGCAAGTCCTCCTCCCCCGTTGGAAACGCCGCCGCAGCGGAGGTGACACGAAGCCTGCTCCGGCGATGCCGGGTGGCGTGCCAGGGCCGCGCAGCCTCGCCAGCCCCGCAGCCTCTCAGAAGACAGAGTTGTCGAGGGCGCTGCAGTAGAGATCTTCAGCGAAGCTGCCGAACTCGGTCTCCAGGTCGCTGGTGCAGGTATGTGCTCTCTGGAAAGCAAACACCGCTTTTAGCTGGCGAGCTGGGAGGTAAACTGAGGTTATCAACTGAACTGTGCTAATTAAGAGAGAGGAGTCATGACATATCGTTTTAAGCCGGTGTTGAATATTTGTTATGAAACAAATGCTGCAAAGCCCTCACTTAACAGCATGTTTTGCAAAACACTGTGTTTCAAGTTGGTGCATTTAAAGAGGGATTCACCCAACACGTTTCATGAGGTAAGAGCCGAGAAAGAGCGTTGGTTTCAACGGAAGAATTTCGCCAGAAAGTTCACATTCCCGCTGAAGTTCTCACAGGGCTGCTCATCACTCTGTCCCTCGGGCCAGCAGCCCCCTGCACCCACGGATTTCCCATTTGGCATGCTCTGCACAACGCAGTTCACCACAGTGGCCCACCAGACAGCCCTCTGTAGCCAAGGACAAAGAGCCCCGGGAGGAGCTGGAGGGCATGTTACGAGGCACGTGAATTTTTCTGAATGAACAGCAGTGAAGCCCACTTGCGGGGCCAGATCCCGACCCCTCGGTACTGAGCAGAGGTGTGCAAGCAAGCGTGCAGGGACGGGGTGGCTCGCAGAAGGAAGCAGAAAGCAGTAGTTCAACTGCCGGAAAGCCCGCAGGGGCGGCGGGAGGCAGAGCTGCTCCTCGGGGCCGAGCGCGGTTCCCACGGGCAGCGCTGCCACCGCTGCGCCGGGCTTTCGTCACCTCGCCCCGCTGTTGACACTACAAATTTAGGAATTGAATGCCAACAACAAACAGCTGCTGGGGGTTTCACTCTCCCGGGTGATCTCAGCAGAGACACAGGGTCCGCGTCCTCACGTCTCCCTGCCGGTGCCACCACCCCGGCAGCCGCGGTGCCAGCAGAAAGCCTCCAGCCGGTATCGCCTACCCGCACCAAGCTCACTTTAAGTAAAGAGACAACTAAATACAAGGCAGTGCTGCTTCCCATAATGTGAAACAGCCTTTGCAAGCTCACATCTTCTAGCTGCAGTGTTAACATTCGTTATTTCTCATATTCTTATTTGTGATACCCTAAGTCGTGTTATTTTACACCAGTGGCTTAATTAAAAACAAACATTATATGATAATCTTTTAAGCCTGTTTCCTTGACCAGACCATGGAATAAGAACAATACCCAAAAAATCAAACCCCTATTCTAAGGGGACAAATTAAAATCAAGTTACTGAGCAGCACTTCCCTTGAGCAGACAATGAGGAGTTTTATCTTATCTGTAAGGCAAATGTATTTATCAGGAAGTAACAGCAAATATAATAAGGCTTAAGACCAGCTTAACAGGAGGACCAAAGATTTCCCATTGTTAGTTTCACAAAATAAATCAGCTCTCCAGGAGTCGACCTCCAGGCCCTGCCAAGGCAGAGCTATCTGCCTGGCTGTGCTCGGCGGAAGGAGCAACTGCATTTCCGTACACAGGGCAGAGCCGTAGGTACGGCACCGTGTGCCTGAAATTCGTTGCGCGTGAGAAAAGCACTCGGCAGTAGCACTTCATCCTTTCGTTCCGTTCTAACCCTCCCCAAAACACTTCGTCTACAAACAAGGCCAGATCCAGAGCTACCGCAGACTGGGCCCTGTCCTCGGCAGAGGAGGTGGCCACACAGCCAGGTGAGAACCGACCGCAGCAGTTACCACTGCAAAAACAGCCTCACAAATTGCTAAATTTGATGGCTAACTCGATGTTATACTTGTAGTCAGGGCTGTGCGTATCGTTGTGTTAACTGCACCCGCGAATTTCCCATTTGGCATGTTCTGCACCACACATTTGACAAGGTAGTCCACGTTTAATATGGACATTAGAAATTCTAAGAGGTCAGAAGGCTTTAACTGAGCAGTAACGAGCTACACGCTCACAGCCTGACGGGGAAAGAGCAGCACACAAACGCAAGCGTTACTTCTAGTCAAAAAAAAAAAAAAAAGAAGCATGACTAAAATGTTCTTTTACCTCGTAGTCATTTGGGAAGGGATCTCTGAATTTGTTGCTGGGTGTTGGAATTCGTGGAAACAGTTTACTCCATATGTGGTTTCTGCAAAAAACAGTAGTGGAGGGATGTGAAAGAATTGCTTTTTCGGATGGATGACACATCCAACAAGCAGCACGCGTTTAGCCCTGCGAGAAGGCATGTCTCCTCGCACCGCCAGCCCTCCTGGCCCCCTCCCACTCAGTCATCGGCATCTGACGGCAGCAGCAGCAGGTTCAAAAGGGGTCGAAGTATGGCATCTGACGGCAGCAGCAGGTTCAAAAGGGGTCGAAGTAATAGATAATGGTCCACCAGCGGACACCCCGAGGACTGGGCAGGTGTGCCATTCCTCACAGGACGCTTCTGGACCCTGGGGACGTGCGGATGACAAAGAGGAGGTAGGCTGACACTCTCCCCCCATCAGCCTCTCCCATCGCAGCCCCAGCAGAGAGCTGGGCTAGAAGGTCCGATCCAACGGGGCACTGCTGTGGCTGTTAACGGCCAGCGATAGGCCTGTCTTGGAGAGGAATTAATTGCTCTAATCTGTCTGTTCACGCTCATGTTCTTCCCAAGGGCTGCGTTGTCATGTACCTTGTTTGGACAGTCAAGACAGGCTGCCTCTTGCTCAGACTTTGGTTTCTGGACATAATCTGCCCGCGTCTCGTGGTAGGAGAGCAACCGCAAATAATTGTGTGCCAAGGGAACAAGGAGGCAAGGAACGGGACCAGAGATGGCTGACAGTAAATGGTTCTGCTTAGCGGTGTAATAACTCATCCTGCTAACACCCTTTGAGATACTCCTTCCCTGCCGGACGCTCTTTAGTCTGGCTCAAGCATACAGGCTTATGTATCTTTGTGATAGCAAGTGCTGCAGAGTGAACTTTTTCTTGTCTTTGATATATCCCAGAGTACAGACTTCTCATTTCAATCGCCAAAACACATTCACCATCTCTACCCCTGGATAGCACGATGTCCAAATAGGGCCAGATTTTAATGGGAACTTGGCCTGAGTGAAGATTATAGGATTTAGCCCAGAAGTAGTATCCGGCGCCTGTTCTGTGGAGCAAGCCTGACATCCATGAAGCAGGGACATGGCCAAGGTGTGGAGCCCTAGCTGCTGGGACCAAGGGCAGATCTGCTCCTCTGCCCCGTTTATTTTGTGACAATTCTCCTGGATGATGGCTGGTTAGTTCAATGCTTATGTTCTTATGACTATTCTTCTTCTAAAAGCTTTCTCAGTTCTGTCAAGTTTTCTTTTATCCTGTTATTCCTCCTCACCAGGAAGGTGAGGAGGAATAATATTTTCTGACTATCAGTTTGGAGCTAAACCTTCCTGGCTGAGCTGCTGCTATCTTGAAGGAGACATTGATGCTTAACTAATTACCGGGCGAAGGGAAGGGCCGTACCACTGCTCACACGATAGACCTGACCAAGCAAGCTGTGGGATGTCTCCCCATTGCTGCACGTGGACGAGGATTTGTGACGGAGGTGTACAGCCAGAAGTGGGAATATGGGGAGGAAAAGCAGGGTGTGAGCGAGCTGTTTTTAGGAGACATTGGCATCCTCTTTGTTGAAATGCTGAACGCAGTCCAACCATCGCTGGCTGCAGAGGACAAGTCAGGCTGTGCGGTCACCACCAGCAGAGTGGGACAGTAAGGTGGCTGCTGGTGTAACTCAGGAGTGGGACCGGGATGAGTGCCAGTATTAACACTCCAGCGCCTGGCATCATCTCTACTCTTCCCAGCTTTCCTGCTAAGGGTTAGGTCTTTGTGACCATACCCAGGTTAGCTTTGCAAGCGCTGTTGTCTTCACAGCTCCTGCACTCCATCGGGTCTCCCAAGCCTTTCAGGAGGAAGGCCCTGGAGGCCACGTGATTTCACCCGCATCGTATTTCAGCTCAGAGTGTGGTTTTGATTTATGCTATTGCTGTGCAATATATCCAACAAGATTTGGTTTTGTTTGGAATTGGCGCGTTTCTAGTTGTGCTGTTTGTCAATAAAAGATTTTGATGGAGCCATATCAAAATTATTTATTGAGTCAGCAAAAAGCATAAGTTACACGTCACTTCTGGAGTAGAAACCCTTAAGGAGGGGTGCACAAACACCCAACAGAAATGAGGCAGAAGCACACTTGTGTTCGTGGGGGCCGCTTGCCCCTCAGGTGCAAGAGTCTTTGCAGTGAGGCGGTGGTGGGGGTGATGACAGTGGTGCCCTCAGAATGGTCCTGTTCTTTTTTGCAGGACACTGAAAAGTTGGAGTTATGTGATTAAATATCTTGTCGCAAAAAGTGTCCCCGATATCTCTGCTTGTCTCTACATGGATTACAACACGGCTGTTTCCATTAGCGCTACGTGGACCTTCAGGCTTTGGAAACACCCCACAGGACCCTCATGCCTTAACTCAGTGTTTCAGGGCCTCCAGTTATTGTGCTGTGTCTGTCTTTCTGAAATTTGCCACTTTTCCCACAGGTCGTGACATGAAAAGGCCAAAGATAAATAAAGAGAAATAAGTAGGAGAACAAGTTCTTCTTTTCCCTCTTCTAACCGCTACGATGAGATTGATAAAAATATTTGTTTTCACAGTATGTTAGTGTGCCTTTTCTAGTGCCTTGCCTCCACCAAGATTCCCTGTGACATTTTCCAAACGACTTCCCTGTAGCGGGTGGCTGGTGACTGCTGGTCGCAGACTGGAGTGGAGTGCAGAAGAGGGAGGGGTGCCTGGTGGAGGTCGGGATGACCACATCGATTTCAGGGTATGGAGGGGCTACTGACTGTCCTCACGTCAATTAAGTGGAGAGCAGCTGGGAGCAAGTTATTAACTACATCCTCCTGTGGGCTCACCTCCAGGAGAAAATGTTATTCCAAGGTACAGCCTGAGGAAGTACAGAAGATGCTCATTCATGAAGACAGAGGGCAAACTAGGAAAAAATTCAATTGTGCTTTTTATCAAGACAGTAACCCCATCAGCTACTGCAAGTAAGTGAAGGGAAAAGACTATCCAAACAGTCCCAAAGGGCTACTTTGCCTTGTAGTGTTTCCCCAAACGGCGGGCTGTATCTCTGATGCCTGCAATCACCAGGAAGCATGCAGAAAAATTTATGGAACTCTTTGCTATAATGAAATTCCTTATAATGGCTCCAAATCGTATGAAATTTGAAATGATTCTGTGGCTTGAATTGCATGGTACACTTCATGAATTTTCAACAGCAGTAAAAACTGAGAGTACTAATGAAACTGTGATCTAGTGAACCTGTTCTATTTTTCTTTTTTTAATATCTGCAGATACAACAAATGAGCAGGCTAAGCACTGCATTTCATCTTCTTACACTTCTCACCTCCTCCCAGGGCAGGCTGGAGGATTAGAGAAGTGGCAAGGACACTGAGCAAGAAGCAGCCTGGAAAGGGTGGAGTAAAGCTAGCAACTTCGTGAAACTCAGTGCAGCAGGCAGATAGAATTTTAATCACTTTGGCAAAGATGGAATGTACTGAGCCTTTGGGTGCTAGGGAATTATATACTAGCCAGGCAGAGAGAAACTCCTAGAAGCAACCAATGTAGTATCAAGCAGCTGAACCTGGAAAAACTAGCTTAAATTTGCCTAATGTATTAAAGTTCATAAAATGCATTAGTACAGCATCTTCAAGCTGGTCCTTGAGTAGAAGTCTTCCCCTATAGCTATTTCTCCCCTTATATCTGTTTCAGGATCTCTGCAGGGGGTAACTGCATAATAACCAAATACTTGCAGAACTCCACAGGAAAACATGGAGCGGTATGACTGCTGGTGGTGGTGTTTGCTGTCCCAAAGAGAGAGGAGAGAGCCGATGAAGATGATGCTGGAGCAGTGGAGGACCTACAGCTATACAGACAGGTCAATCCATAAAAGAATCAGTGATGTGAGTAAGAGCGGTTTGGGGATTTCCACCAATGCACCAAGGCTGCATAGTTGGGAACGAGTGCATACGAAGCACAACATGAATAAACTCTCTGGGGAGTTAATCTATCTTGTTCCAAAATGGATTGCTTATTGAGACCTGCTATGCTAATTAAATTGACTTAAGAACAGGTTATCATGGACACCAGACACTTTAGGGAGAGTTAATAACAGTTATTCTAATGTAACATTCCTGTAGACAAGACCTTTGTTTGATAAAGGGAATGTGGTACAGAAAGGAAAATAGCCAAGGACACACCAGGATGACCAATAAATCAAAAGGCATTAAAGAAATTAATAAGAAATTAGCAGAGTTGAGAACAGCACTTACATTACTGGGAGCTGTGTTTATTGTGGACTTATAATTGCTGCTTGATGCATGTTTCAGGGGAGAAGCTTGTAATTACATTGATTCTTTAAGTCATCACTTAGGATTTGACTAGTCACAGCTACAGAAATCCCAAGTGTATCTGGGTTTCTTCACAGCACATTTGGGGAAGTTTGGCTATATGGCATCTGTTTGTACTACATGGCTTCCCTAGCCTCTGTAGTAATTAAAAATGAACTAAATAGTTCAGAAACTCAAAGCCAACAATAGTTCAATGCACTTGCTCCTGTTAAGAGGTCAAGAGGAGCAGCAAGCACAAAAGCACTGAATTTTTACCTCTTCAGAGCATCTTCCACACTCCTTTGATGTCAACTGAAATTCAGACTACGTGCCCAGGGCCCATTACGGAGTGTATGTCTGCAGGCTGAACTAGGCAAGACTGAGAAAATACTGGTCTGTACGTTTCAGCCGTGAAAGATGCTCTCAGCAGGTTTCACCAGGGTTAAAGACAAAGTCCTCCTGGGGAAATCATTGACCCAACCAGATCCATTTAAGTGAAGAAACGAGATAAGGACAAATAGATTTTTAACAAATTCATCTCAGTATATGGTTTTGTTGTTTAAGATTAAATTGAGTAACCCTCTTACCCCTCCAATTTTGCTGAATGCTACTGTTGATAATTAATGAGGCTGATTATTACTTTTCAGTACTTTTGCTTCGTATAATTATGCTTGGATACCAAACTCAGTGCCCTTTCTTAAAATTAAGCAAAGCTTGTAACATCCCACACATCTGTTGAACACCTAGTCCTTAGTTATACTGTAATTAAAAAGAAGACAATGATACTTACATTTTGCATATTATAGCAACAAGTAGGAATGTGCAGTACGTGGACACACAAAGCACAGCGAGAATCCAGGCTATGGGATTCTCCGGTTTGTTTTGCCCTGAATTTCAAGAAAAAAAAAAATTAAATATATTATTTTAGTGCAGATTATTTTAAACACACTCTTACAAAAGATTTCATCAGCTGTTTTATGTGATTATATTCAGATCACAAATTAACATGCAAACGATGAAGACTTGGTATCTAGACTTAGAAACAAAACGCAGAGCTTCAAGAACAATTTGCATGAAACTGACTTCCTAATTTCAACAATAAATTTCTTTCATTTTGACATGAGGAAGAGAACAAACCGAGAAGCATGAGCAGCCAGGCCCACCAGAAGGACGATACGGTCCGTTAGCTGCCATCCCGAGACACGCAATGCCATGCAGCGAGCACACGACCGGTACTCAGCAAAGACACTGTTTGCTGATAATCTCAGGCATAAATTGTTTTCCATTAAACCATTCTTCATTTCTGCTAATCCTTTCTAGCCAGGAACTGGATTTCTCTGGCTTCATAAACTTGCCTGTAAAAAAGACATTGAAATCCCCCATTTTTCTTGTGAGCTGGTTGCTGATACATTTCCTCAGGAAGAATTTCTCTACTGCCTCTGCCTGTGAGCAGACACAGGTATTTCTATCAAGGTCAGTGCTTCTGTTTTGAAAAGGCATTGCTCAGTGACCGTGACATTATTTTGTGCCACATTATGCCGTATAACAAAAACACTTACATTGAACTGCATTTTCAAAAGGCTGCCGAGTCCATGTGTGCTTACGATAACTACCTGTCCTATGCATCAAGGTGTCAGCGCTGCCATTACCAGGTAATTGGAAGGACATAAATTGGCCAGCAGCCGGAGTGTTGGGTTTATTGGTGCTGTAGACAAAACGATATTCAATTGTGGCCAGATTTGTTTCTGAAAAATGAGGAGCTGAGCCTGCTGTCTCCGCTGACGGCTGTGGTTGCACGGCAGTCCCTGAGAGCAGCGTGTGGATGACACCATGAGCAGGCCTGTGTGATCCGTCCTGCGCCTCCGTACCACCCCGATGGGGGTACACAGTCAACCTTGCAATTACAAACGGGTTAGGATGGTTTATTTTGTCTTCAGGGTTACCACTTTTCTTCCAAGAAAATAAGATTTAGGATGTAACTGTCAATGAGTTATGCTTCGTGTAAGTCTTGAAGATGACTGGGGCAGCAAACTGTGGAAAAAGGTTAAGCCCCTTAAATGAATTTTAAGCCTCCCAGTGTGACGGCTGGGAAGCGTCTCCGTTTTCCAAATCAAAAATGGAAGGGTCCTAAGTCTCTTCCATCTTATGTCGGTTGGCAATGGCCTCAAAAAGGCATGATCAGGCAACACTAAGTCTCACTGCAACTCGGAGTAAGGTGCGGGAGAAGCAGCAATTGCAGAGGCTGTGCTGTGGTGCTGGGGACCGGCCCAGGGCGCTCCTTCTCGGGCTTCTCTCCAAGACGTGCCTGGAGGCACCAGCCCAGCCCCGCGCACCACTGTGAACCGGCACGAGCCCATGCACCTGCCTAGTGAGAGGTGTCCACATAATACATGAAACAGAGGGAACAGATGAAACTTCCTCAGAGCCACAGAGCAAGTTAACAGCAACGCTAATCACTGGCTGAAGTATGCACTGAAACCCAGCGACTTATGCCGTAACCTGTATTGTGTCAATGAACTGCAACAAGCCTCTAAAAACCCCTTTTCCTAAGAAAAACTGAAGTAATTAGACCTATCCTTGGATATTTTTGAGATTTTAGTAAATTTTTATGGAAGACTTTTTTTTTTACCATCAGAATGAATTTTCCATATTTGATAAGTGCAGAGCACGAGTAGAGGCATCTGGAACAGCGATGTTTCCAGGTTCCCCAATCATTGTCACGCCGCGCAGCAGAGACAGCTCCAAAAGTGCTCCGGCTGACACAGAGGGGCCCTCAAATCTTTCAGCCTTGCCGGGAAAGCAGAATCGGGACAGCACAAATGTGCTGTAAGGTGCTTCTCAGCCCCAAACTTGACCTCTGGACCTTTTAAACTGTGAACCCTGGCAGTGGCTGTTCACACGTACCTACAGCTTCACAGATTTGATTCGTACCGGGCTGCCGCGCACAGTTAGTGAGGGTGTCCAGCCCACTCGGCTGCACTACTGGTTTTTTATCTAGCTTTGTTTGACTGCAATGCTTCTAAGCAACCTTTTAGAGACAACTGGTATCAAGGTGCAGTTTCACAATGCCCGCTTTGGCAGTGTATGGCTGCATTTCACAGGGTTTGATCACCGCAGCCCAAGGAAAGGATCCAGAATAGTGTTTCAGTTCGTAACGAAGTTGGAGGGTTGCTGCTACAGGACGGGCAGTCTAGGCCAGTGTTTTTCTCAGGATACGGGCTCAGAAGAGGTCTACTGGTCTTAAAGTTGGTCTCATCCGAATATTTCCCAGGTAGGTGCACAAGGCTAATAAACAGGCCCAGTTTTCGTAATTAATAAGAAGTTTGGTCAGCCCCCCCCCGCCCCAGGTGAGTGGCCGGTTTGCTGAGCCTCTCTTCCCAAGGGCTCGCCAGTGCCATGGAGCGAGGTGGGAAGGTCAAGGGGATGTGTTAGAGTAAGGAGGCAAAACACCAGCAGATTTGCATTCACCAGCAAACAGATATAAGAGGGAAAAGTATAGTAAACAGGAGAGTGTAACGGACTTTTTTTTTTTTTCCAAGTGAAAACCAGGAAGTTAAGAAACTCAAAAGATAAGAGCAAAGGAGGATGTCTAAGAAGAAACAGTTGATAACGTGTCATGATAAGGAAACTGTCATTTCCAGAAAAACATGTTCAGCAAGCAGGAAATACAGAACAAAGTGGGGCAAATTATCACGTTCCAAAGATGCTAAAACCGTGCTCTTTTCCCCCCCCAACATTTAAGAGTTCAGATAGCTCCAGTAAAGTAATAGTTGACATGATCACTCATATTAAATTCCAGCATGAACATCACAATGCATGCCAGGGAAACACATGTAAAAACTAAAGAAGTAATGCAACTAAAAGGCCTTACCTAGAACTTAGGCCTTAAGCTAGTTTAAAGCAGTCTCTGAGAACATAAGCCTGTAAAAACAAAGCACTGTCTAAAAAACCCCTCCATATGTCCAAAAGTTTGCTTGGGAGATTTTTTTTCTATTTTTAATGGAACACAGATTTAACTCCCCTTGGCATTAACAAGTCAGTTTCTTTCTTCAAATACCTATCTTCCTGGCTTCTATTAAAATTACTTGGTGGTGTGCATGCTCATGATTAGGCAGCATTTGCTTTCCAGCATGTAATAATATTCACTACAAGACAGTAGCATGTCATTCTTACCAACATAAATAACTTCACTCCAGTCACTCCAAAATCCTCTTGTACAACATATGTGATGATTAGCTCTTATTTGTATGGAATACCTGTTGGTAACATCAATCCATAATCTGAAGTCGTTTGAGGATATTTTCAATATCTGTTAGGAAAACAATATTGTACTGTTATAGATTACTTGAAACTCTAAACAATTCAGAAAACAAACTTTAATCACGTTTATCTCTTTATTTTTTTAAAACTCCTTTACTAGATTAACAGTGAGCATCTGGCCTTGCTTTTCAAGTAAGATCTCTATTTTTATAGGTGCAATTTCTCTCATAATACACCAATATTTCATGGCAAGTTCTTGAAAGATGCCTCATTTTTGCATTCTTCCTTAATGCACTTAATGCTGGATTTTCAGAATTGTCCATCCTCCTACTGTTCTGAACCCAGATGCATAAAACTGAATAACTCCAATTTTTGTCCTTCTGCTTTCCTAGGTCTCTTGGGGATAGTTTGCTGCAGACATAAATGACGTCCAGAAAAAGAGGAAAAATATGAAAACTGATGAGACTTTGGCTTTGCTGAACCCTCGTCACAAATGGGACACAGGTTTCACCAAAAGTCCATAGTTTCAAAAATGTACTAGTAGCAGGTTTTATTTTAAATGTTTTAAAATTTGTAACATATTCATGAATATGAAGACATTTTTTTCACCAGGCAAATTCTAGCTATATAGGACAGTCAGCTCAGAGACAGGAATACTATGTAATACTTGGGCATCAGAGAAGCAATTACCTGCTTGTTACCTGACTTCAAGTTGAAGAGGTAAAATTCATATTCAAAACATTCTTTAGGGAAAGGAGAAATTGGCTTCTCCCATGTGGCCAGGAGATCATTTTGCTCTAAGAATACAGTGACATTTCTGGGAACATTCACTTTCTCTATAAAAAGAAAACTGTACCGGTAAGTTATTTATAGAGCAAAGTTTAAATACTAACAATTGGAGCACTTTATAACCTGATAGTGTTTCCAAGTAGGACCTATAATCCTTGAATTTATTTCACATTTCAGACAGAAAAGATAAGGATTAAGGAGGAATAACTATATTGGAGAAAACAGTTAAGGGAAAACAGTTTTAAAAATCCACTTAAAAGTTTTGGAAAACTAGATTACTGGGGGGTGGGGTGGAATTTATTAAATTAATTTTCACAAAAGCACTAAAATAATGATAGAACAGTTAGAAAAACTTCTTTTCAGGAAAAAAAACCCAGATGTAACCAGGAAAGTTACTGAAAACTGGAACGAATTCAAAGGAATGGATCAGCAGCTATTACGGGGAAGATTTCTAAGAAGAAAGTGCGTCAACTGTTTTATCTTAGTGACGTCATGAAAAAGGGAAATGGCAACAGTGAAAGGCATGGAACTAATGAAGGAAAATAAATTATTTGGGTGGATGAAAGATGACAGACAGTCATGGCTGATACCACCTTTTATTTGACAGTCTAATGCCTTTCTTTAAAAGGACATGGTTCTCTTGAACATCATGCGTCTTTTTCCTTTTAAAGAAAGGCTGTAAAATAAAAGGTAGTAAAAACCGTACTTGAAGATATATTGACTAAATCGATTGAAAATGAATATTGGAAATAATGCTTTGGCTAACAAACAGAATAACTAATTGTATTTTCTAGCTTTTTATTTTTGTCATTCTTATAATATTAAAATCAAAGTTAGTTAAAGCCATCCATTTCTGTCTTATAATCTCTTCCAATTTCATTAAAATGTCTATGCAAAACAAGCACATACTTTCACCTGCATCAAGAACATTCAATGCAGTAATAGTCTCTCACAAATCTTTTGACAATCCTGCTAGACATTTTTAATTTTTTTTTTAAATGTATTTCTACTCACCAATGGCATTTTGGCACATACTTCACCTGCATCAAGAACATTCAATGCAGTAATAGTCTCTCACAAATCTTTTGACAATCCTGCTAGACATTTTTAATTTTTTTTTTAAATGTATTTCTACTCACCAATGGCATTTTGGTTAAATAACTGCTGAAAAGGTTTGATTGCAGCATACTTGCTAGACCCATTAATGTGTATTACAATGAGTTTGTCAACCTGTTCAGGATCAATATGAGTCACTGAAAATCTGCACTCAGTATTCCTGTTCCACTTGTCTTTGATATAATCTTGACATTCTTCAGTGTACGTCTCATACCTAAATTAAAATACTTGTGAGACATGATGCTCTTAAAGACATCCATTCTGACCAAAATGGGAGAAAACACCAACCTGTAAAATAGAAAGTACTCGGTATGTTCTGGTGCCCCTCGGCCAGGAAGCCAAGTGCAATGGAGAGAAACAGTACTAGAAATGGTGATGCGAGTAACACAGGACAAATTAGTGACAGATGTCTCTGGAGCACCTGGAGAGCCAAGGAATTATCAAGCAGAAAGAAAAATCTTATTACAAAAGTCGTAAGAAATTCACGTTGCTAAAACATTGTGATTACAGTCTTTGGTCCATTATAGCTATGTCTATTGTATCCAATTCTCTTCCTTATCACACAGGACTATCGATTATGGATGGATGAAGAATCCCAAACACTGTAAGTAAAGCTGTACCACACAACACCAGTATATTTCATGTACACCTTGCAATTCAAGGCAACATGATCTTTTAATATCCTAGAGTGTATGAAAGTAGGTTACCTTAGCCTTAACAAGGAATTTTTAGAAAATTTTATGTGGGTTATTCATGTTGTGCACCTCCAGATTGTAACCCAGGCCCCACAGCAGTAGAGAAAGGCCTGGACTAAATCGTTTTGTAAGATCAGTGTAGCAGTATTTTTCAAGTATTAAACCTGTCACCTTTTGATGTCTAGTCCACAGACCGGGGCAGAACACAAAATTCAGACTCCCCTTGCATTTCTTCTTACCTGGCAGAGGCAGGAGTTCTTCCTTTACCCAGTCACTTGTCATCTGAAGGTCATTATGGAGTAGTAACGTCCGAACGTGTGCGGAGAAACCGTTGTGAAGTGCAGCTGTTCGGATACTGTGAGTCTTCTTTGTATCATACTTGAAAGAAAAAAAAAAATCAAATAAGCATCACATGTGATGGAAGCCAAATTAAGGGACCTGCAAAGACTGATCCAGTCTTTGCAAAGAGGCAAACCAGCCAGCTAGCTTAGCTGGTTATACTGAGTGTATAAAGCTAGAGAGTATAAATGATCCACACAAGAAGCGTGTAAGGTTTCTCATTTAAGACAGCAGGACCCTTATCTTACCAAAAATTTGTCTATTGCATACAGCTGTGACGAAACATGATCTGACATTTTAATGATACCCTGGCATTAATGTGAATTAAGTGAGCTGACTTGAACGGGGAGCAATATCACTTAAAACCAGTATCCAGCTTCCCCCCAAGGTGAATGCTGCAGAGACTGCCAATTCCCCTGTCCCAGCAGAGCTGTGGCCATAAGCATAGCTGAAAGGAAATCTCTCCAGTGCTCAAAGTATATGTTTATGATATAAGAGAATAAGTGATTCAATATGCCAATCGTTCAAGAGACATATCACGCCTACTGCACCCTGTTTTGGTGCAATATGTTTAGCTCAATGGGAATTTAACCTTCTTAGGATACTGGACTTATCCTTTATCTTACCTCTTCAGGCACAGGGCTTAGGATTTTCACATCGTATCTAATAGTGTAGTTTTTTTGTTCTTGATTAGGGTTTGGTTTCCAGTGTAAAAGTACTTGTGCTAACGCAGAGACTGTAAGGGTGAAGTTAACAGGTGGGAACACCTGAACTGTAAGGGAGAAAACAAAAATATTCATAACATAGTAATCCAGTGAATTGTTCGGAGCAGTAACTGTTTACAAGCAATGAGCAACACAAGCAAATAATTTCATTTCAATATTATATTCTCTCAACATCTTCTTATAAAATGTTTCTAATATGTGAAAAATACCTTTAAATAACAACCAAAACTTCATCAAATAAGAGTTTACTTAAAACTCAGCTTAAAAAATGATTTTTTACAACAGTTTCAACTTGAAAATCACAATGATATATTACATTTGGCTTGTTAATTAGGTTCAGGTTTTTCAACTTGATCCTCATAGCCACATAGACACTGGGCATCTGTACTGAAACGGGGCTGAGCAAGTGATCAACCGTACGAACAATTCTCACCCACATAAGCTTGCAGAAGAGCATAACGTGGGGGCTTTCTAAGAGAGGGCTGACAGCCACGAGCAGTTACATGCGAGAGAAGAAACAAAATGATGAACAGAGGAATTAAGCACAAATGGAAGAAAACATAGAAGGATGGGAATGATAATTTAAAACAACAGGGCAAGAGGGATTCCCGGAGCTCATATGGAAATGAGGAAGATCTCATGCTGAGGGAAAATGCTAGCACATAAATAGCAAGGCAATGAAATAATCAATCTACTCCCCTCCGTGTCTAGAGTCCTTCAGAGCCTGCCCTCCCTTAATTGCCATCTCCAAGGCAGTTGAGGGACATCAGTCCCCACTTCCCCCATGATTTCAACCTTTGATGCCCACGTTCATTTTTCAAGCACGCACCTTGCATTAGGAAAACTGCTTCATAAAGGCTCAGAAAAGCCCAAAACAAACCACCCTGAACTGCTCCCCTTAAAATATTCCTTGTTGAGATGCCCACAAAAGATGTCACCATTAAGGCTGTTGATACACAAGGATTATGCCAGCGATGCTTTGTGTCATCATGTTTCTGCAGCTAACTGCAGTTTTGTTCCTGGAAGTAAAATTGCTATCTGGAATAACGCCTTTGCCCTAGCTGGATTAAACTGTTGGAAAAAACAGGCCAGGAACTACTGTCCAGCCCAGAGGGAAAGTGGCACGGCACAGCTTGCGTCTACTTGCCTCATGGTTCTTCCCTCTCAAAGCAAAACAGTCCTCAGGCACTGGCTGGGAGCAATCTAACTGAGACAGGGTACAACTGTCCCAGGAAGCATGTTAACACAGCATGGTCATCTGTGGTCCTGTACTCATGGCATGCCACGGACTGTTTTATTCATGTGTAGAACAGCGCATTTGACCAACACATAGAGGAGCCTTGGTCGTCCCACTGGTGCTAAAACAACACACTGGTAAAAGGAAAATGCCTTACCTCCTGCAGCTTGAGGTACGTTTTGCTGAACCAAGTTCATTGTCCAAAGGAGGATCAGAAAAACTCTCATCATGCTGGCCATAATCCTTAGAAGGTAAATGAGAACGGCCATGTATCAGCATATGTGCCTTGTCACCATTTCACAGGGGCTGACAGCTAAAAATGAACACAATCCCAAGTGTTAAGCACGCAAACCATGGAGCATGGTATATCCACATGATCAAAGGAATGAAACTGCCACCTTGCAGGGGATAGACTCTTCTCCTTTCCTTGCAGGAAAATGTATCTTGTCATAGCTAAATTTGATATAAGTACCACCAACCACATTTCATTTTGCTCCCTTTGCTTTTGCCAGCCCTCTTTGAAAAAGGTAGCTTTTCCACTACTATCACGTGTGGATGTTCAGAGCAGCAGTCACAGACTTAGAGCATCTCTCCACGGAGAGAGGCGCGTCAGGTTGAGGTATTCTGGCTTTCAGTAGAGTCCCATTTACTCCAAGAACAGAAATAACCATATTTTTAGCTGCCACTATATATAAAATAGCTACTTACTGGAATTTACTTTCCAGTTTTTATTTCAATAAAGCTCGCTAAAGAAGCAGTCTCAGTGCTCACCTCAAGGCTAATTCTACAGTGTTAGTTATTGGGTGTAAGAGAAACTATTTTGTTTGTTTCTAATTTAAATGAACGACTATTTTTAATGCTTAAAACCAGCATGTTCTTATGCTTCCTACAGATTGTTTCATGAAGTACTGGGAGAAAAAAAAATCTGTGTGTAATCATTCATGTATAAGCTAATATAAACAACATGGAAATACAGAACTGCAGCTTTCCAAAATGTTCTTACTGAAGAGAAATGCGCCCTCCCAGCCCAATCACACTACTTCCCTGGGGCACTAGAGCAATTGCTTGTATGGAAAACATAATATTTTCAGATGGTAATGAGCAGAGAAAGCATCTTTAACCCATCAGTTCTCCCTGAGCCTCCAATAAATAACCCAGGGACTGGAAGCACTCCAATTGATCACAGTTGGAGTACTGCTATACAGTAACTATTTTTCAAAATGGTGTATGAATGCTGAGTTCATTAAAATGACACATAATCTACAATGCAGTGTGTTTCTTAATGTCCACGTCCACTCATTATCTATATTCATATTTTGTATGTGTCTACTACTCTGCTAGCCAAAATGTGCGTGAGGCTAACTGAAACTCTGGAGTTTGCTAACGGATTATTCCTGGGGAGTCAGGGTTTGCTTTTACGTATGTTGGGTTACTGAAAGACATTTTGGTCAGACATTTTGGTTCTTCCAAAATGTATGTGTCTCACAATCAGGTGATTATTATTCACACCGTACATTTATGCCTACACCATGCCTCCAAAACTATTACCTATTGCATTACCACTCATGAGAAGTCTGTTCTTTTGGATTTTCTCACTTGAATACCATACAGACCTCTGCTTCACAAGATTATGTTGTTCTGGAGGGCATTATGTGGACTGAACACAAATTTACAATGTCACCTGATCTCTGACCACCTCTGCCACACCTATACTGCTTTACCTGATAAAAACTAATTAAAAGAACTGTTAGAACATGACACGCATTTCCAATATGCTTTTGTACAAATTACTGGCATCAGGCTTTCTTTCCTGCTTCAAAAAACATCGTATAGCTCATTTACCTGAGACTATTAAATACACTAATAACTTTTTTCTCTATTTAAAAGTAAAAATTTATCAGCTTCAAGTCCCTGAAAATAAAAGCCAGCTTCTCACTTTCATGCCAGCAATAACCCCAGTACAACTCTGCCAAGAACGCAACTCTGAACTGCACAGATGTGTGTGCATGTGCTTTTATGCATGCGCGCACATCCGCATTCCCGTCTGTTAACGTTACCCACCATGTTCCCTGCAGCTCTCCCACCGACCACCTACAACCAAAACCAGCAGCTAAGAAGCAGTTTCAAGTAGATTAAGCTCTTGTAATATGACCCAGGTACCTCGGTGAGAAAGACAGGAGAACCCACCAAAGGGCATTCCACTGGCATAGAAGAGAGACGGAGGGACAGCTTGTGCTTCCCCAGCTGCAGTGAAAGCTTTATCAGGCACAACTACGAGACTTTGGGAAAGAAGCTTTGTTGGTTCCACTGCTAAGAGCTCACTTCTTTTTTTAAAAAAAGCAATCACTTCAGTACGTTATTAAAAAAAAAAAATCTTTAAAAAGCCTCACGTTTTACAATTGCTTAGGATCCACATGTACCAACTCAAGTAATGTCAGTACGTTGGTTTCAGGACTGCTCTGGCATTTAGCACAACTAAAAAAGCTGGCTCTCTCTTGGGTTCATTAAAGTTGGTTTGGCTACCTATAGGTTTTTTTACTTTGTCCTCAAAAAATAAGGATTCTGATTCTTCCTGGGCACATTCTTTACCCTATACTTTTGAAAAGATCCTAAAGATCAACTTTTCAAAGGTACTTTTGCTGTCTAAAGCATGCACGTATTAGACACAGATCTAAGATTTTCTGAGCAGCAGTTTACTCATTTGTAACTGGATATAAAATGTTAACTGTAATGCAGATTAGTTTTCAATTATTATCCCTGTTTTTCTTACCAGTTTATCTTTTCCTGCCTTGTTTTCAAAAATGGTATTTTTCTTTTTCTTGCTACCAGACTAAGATTGAAAATACAGCTTTTGGAAGAGGTAATTCCATAGCTGTGTAAGACCACACCACCTTGCAGTCTGTGATACCCTGTGTGTTTCATGTGAGAAATTACTGAAAAGAGAATCAAAATAAGTGTATTCAAGTAAAGATGTTAACTAGAAATCTACAAGAGGATTACGCTCCTCACAAAAATGGATATAGTAAGTTCTCAGGACAAAATAAAAACCTTGATTATATTATGTTTTGGTTATATATGGTAAAAAGTAATAAGCAGAAGGTAAAGGATATATTCCCTTCGCAAAGGGTATACTCCTTCTTAAAGGACAGTAGAGATCCAAACCATAGAAAACAGCCTCTAAAAGGTAATGATTTTCTTACATATAGCTGACGTGTCCCACTATCTCACAGGCAACTGGTCAGAAGCAGATTCCAGATGCATTTCCCAATGTAAGGCAAAGCTGAATTTGAAAAGCAGGACCTTTGCAGTCTTCAAACAAAGCACAACAAGACAAAAACGAATCACAACAGATATCCCAGGAGGTTACCTGTGGAGTCCCAAAAGTTCTGTGAAGAGCCTGCTCTGTTTGTTCAAACGTCCTCTGGGTCATCTCCCTGTGGGTTCCTTTTATAACTGCTGTCTTTCAAGTACAAATGTGATAGGTATTCAGAAATGATGGCAGATGCTAAGTTAGACAAGCATGCATTGAAAAAGGGAACTACAGATTTAACCACAGGGTCGAAGGCTCCACGCAAGCACACAGCTTAGCCCAGAAATGGTTTTACTTTATTTATTGAGGGTTATTTATACACCATACTCCGATAATTCTTTAATAACTTTGCAAGAGCAGGAATGTTTAATGACTGACTGCAAAGAAATAACCTATAGCCAGCTACCTACAGACCACTGCTGATACCCCAAGTTGTTCTCCCCCTAGAAAATCAAATCCAAACGTTGCTGGAAAACTGTGCAGGTTTTGTCCAATGGTTTTATACCATCGTCTGCAATGCCTCTGCCATACAGCCATGTGGACATCAGTGGTATTTTGAGAAGTTACCTGTACCAGAGCAAAACCCGCTTCCTAACCTCGTGCTGAGAGCTTTGAGCTGTGATCCATAGGGTTGGATAACACAGGCTCACAGGCAGGACCAGCAGCAGAAACCAAACCAAGGGCCTAGAGAAGACCCTGCAGAAAGTGGGGCTATATGTAATGGAGTTATAGGAAGGACAAGAAGGCAGCCAATGACTTACATTCATTAACATGGACTGCAAGTACAGAGTACACAAACATGCAGGTGACACAAGCTGGGAGAGGCGAGTGCTTTGGAGGCTAAGACTAGAATTAAGAAAGTTCTTGACAAATTGGTGGAAATTGGGTGCAGTCCAATATGGGCAAGCTCTCAACTGCATTTAGGCATTATCAACTGTAAATTACTAGCTATAAATAATCAACTGATTAGGTATCTGTTCCACAGACGAGGATCTGGGGTTTTGGAGGGTCATAAACTGAAGAGGAATAAACAATGTGATGCCCTTGTGAAAAAGGCACCCCAGGCCAGCTAAAAGCGAGTGTCCTCTGCAAGACGCATGAAGTAATCCTTCCGTTCTGCACAGCGCTGATAAAGCCTCCACTCACACGCACTGTGTCCAGCTGAGACACTGCGCTTAAGAAAGCCATGGAGCAGACGAAGAGAAGCCAGTACACAGCAAAGGATACTACCAGAGCCTAAAAAGTACCAGTGAGGAAACAAGTTAAGGGAAGATTTGTGCAGAAATGTAACACATTAAGGCTTTCACATGCTCTCCAAGTCTGTTGGGCTGGGACTAGAAGGTAACGACAAGTAAAATTCAGGTTAGATATCAGGGAAAGCTTTCAGTGTTAGGGATAGGGAGGCAGTGGAGCAGGCGCCCGAGGACTGAAAGAAGCTCTGTCACTGGGCACCTATAGACAAACATCAACCAGGAATGACAGTCGTAATCAAATCCTGCCATCAGGCACGGAGATAAATTAGGTGACCTCCTAAGGTCTGGCCAGCCCATAAGTCTCTGAATAAACAGCTAATTACTGGGCAGAGAGCTCTGACATGTACAGCAAAATGTTTCTGTAGAAAAGAGGTAATTTCTAAAGGTGAAGCAGGATTTTAATACGAAACAGTAGTCACAAAAAAAGGGTAAGAAAAGGTTATGTTCTTACACAGGCCTGACTACATTATTGGAGATCTGAGATTTTTTTTTGAATAGGTCATTCCAAAAAAACCCCTTTAGTGCTCATAAGCATTCTCCTGTCTGCTGATTTGTTAGGTGCTTAAAAGGCTGGATAGATCTGTGTAACGTTTCTTCCCAGTTCCCAAGAAACCTGTAGCACTCTTTTTGCTGAGACAGAGATTTATTCGGGCTTCAAAGGGAACCACACTCCCAATTAACTCGCATTTGGGTGAGCTCCTCCTTCAGGCTCCACTCCTTCCAACCCTTCTGAGATGCCTCCTCGCAGGAGCGGTACAGGGAGGAGCGCCGAGAGCCGCAGCTCTCCTGAGCCCTGGGGATGTGCAGGTGGCCAAACACAGTGAAATTTCAGTAATCTCAGCAGTGGAATTACACTCGTGAGGAGGGAAGCACTGACCCCCCCGAACTGTACCAAATCCCCAGGACTCCCACATTATCTTGTGTTGTCCATACATCTCCACACAGTAAAGAAATCTTAAATCAATCCAGGCTGACAAACATAAACCTAGTATTTAAACTATACCGAGCCGCTTCTCACAGTTCGGCAGCTATGAGCTGGTGGACACGGTTCAGCAGTGGCTTAGCACTGGCGCTGGGGTGTTTCAGTGACTACAGAAGCGATTTCGCAAGTGGTGTGTTTGGGGTAATTAGCCCATTTCTTTTGTGACGGTTGTGTCATTATTGAAGTATTTTTTTCCCCTTTGTAATTTTCTTTTTCTCTCAGCTGAAATCAGGGCACGGTAAACCTTTCATGTTTTGTACTGTTTCTTTTGTGACTCCCTTCTTCCGTGCTGCATTCCTTGGCAGGACCAACGCCCCCCTGCCTTCCCACAGCGGAAGGCCCCTCCGGGCTGGCCTCTGAGGGCTTCACCTGCGGCTCCTCAGCGCTCAACCGTGCAAAGCCCCTCCTGTCCCGGGACACGCAGCACCCACGCCCCCCGCCCCAGCTCGGCCGGGGCCT